GTGCCCAGATATTTGGGTAGCCAGAGGCATAGAAATATGGCAGATGTTGCTGGTTGCCCTCGGTATCTGTCCTTTTTATTTTGCTCAGTAATAAAACCCAAAAAGTTAGCTATTTGTCAACCAATAAAAACAGATTACATTTCCCAGCCTCTCCTGTAACTAAGTGTGGCCATGTGACTAACCTCAAACCAATGGGATATAAGGAGAAGTAGTTTGCATAGATGTCTGCAAAGTTTTCTTAAAGAGAAGAAGCATGTCCTCTCTTCCTCTTTCACTGGTTTTCCTGGCTAGCACGCGGTTGTCATGGCTCAAGGTGAAGCAACCATCTTATAAGTCAGGGTAGAAATCTCAGGTAACAGTTGGCAGAGTAACCTGTCAGAAGGAATCTGGATCCCTGATGGTTATGGAGCCACTATTTTAGCCTAAGACTGCTTATGTTTACCTGAGAGAGAGAAACCTTTATCTCTTTGCCACTGTTATTTTGGGCTTTTCATCTGGTGAGTACTCTTATTTTCTTCAAACAATTATCTTATATTATCTCAGTTAATACTATTTTATATTATTATTACGCCTATCTTATTATCGTGTTTAGTATTTTATTTATTTATTTTCTGTCCTCCCTCTCTAGAATGCTAGTTTCAGGGCATTCAATTAGCTTACCCTTTGCAGTACTATATGCTATTCACATTGACAATCACATTCATTGTAATGCTTGTGGCAAGGGAGGCATATAACCAGTTGTTTCAACTAAAATGTGACAGTTGGGTTCTACATAAAAGTAACAGTATTAAACAGTCTAATGGCAATCACTGATAGGCTGCTTAAATGAATATTTCCTTCATTCACTATTTTGGAAGGGCCCATTGGGAAGGGGCAAAAACAAAACAAAACCTAATATAATTCCAACTGACTGAGCTGAAGAAGCAGAAGTTTGACTGTCATTTTATAAGGGTTTGACTATCATTTTATAAGGGTTTTCCTTCAAGTGAGACTACTACACGGTTTCCCAATTTCTCTCCAAGTTACAAGCCTCCTTAATATTATCCAAGTCATATACTTTTCTCATCTTTAATATCTGTAAGTTTTTTTTTTAAATGGCATCTTTAGAGCTAGCATTAATCATCATGCTTTTTAAAAATGTACTTTCAGGAGCCCAGAATATAAATGCTAGGTCTTCTTTGACTTTTTTGATTTGTATGGTGTATCATACAAAGCAAATTGGCAGTTGTTAAGAGCAGCAACTTCACAAAAAATTGTGTAAGGTTACTCTATAGTGTCACCAGTGTCACCCACCAAGATCTGCTTTGCTCCCTTTACAATTATTTGTCTTTTGTCAACATTTAAACAGAACTTATTTCTTTCTGTTTTTGATTTCTTGTGTAGATTTCCTTACTTTTATATCATTAAAAACTTGGTGACTTCATCACTCACTGTAAATCCAGAAGTCACAGTATAGTGCCTGTGGCTGTAGCAACAGCTCAGGTTCTGGTCTATAGCACTGAGGAGTGGGCAGAAACCTTGACTCTTTTTTTCACATCTGAATCTACAGAACTTAGAACAGTGCCTGGAAAATAGTATGTGTTCAGTAAATATTTGTAGAATGAATGAATGAACAGTAACTTAGAATGGGGTTCCTCTAAAGGTAATAGGCTCCTACTTTGAGAAACTGTAGGATTTAGAATTCCAAAGAACTTAGGTTTTTATAGGTGAGGAAAGTGACATTTAGAGCAGTTGTATGACTCATAGATCACATAGGTCCCTTGTCATGCCAATTGTTGGCCAGTCTCTCTAATACAGGAAATAGGCATAAAAACCACACAAACTGACTAAATAATGAACCAGGTTGTATTCAGAGCCTGCTACGTGCTACTAGACACAGGGACTTGGCTGATCAGCATATGGCCATACCACAGGTACCTACAGAAAGATGCCTGCTGAGATTACTAACAACTACTTCTTCATGCCTTTAATGCTGCATACCCATATCTGGAAAGGAAACGATATAAACCAAATTCCTTGAACACTCAGGGGTCTCATTCTCTGGCTTTGAGAGGAGACAACATCTCTGCCTGTGGAGTTTCTCCTTCTCTAATAAACTTTCCTTTTGTCTCTAATTCTGGCTCTAGCTTGAATTCTTTCCTGTGCAGAGTCAAGGACTGTCTCCTTGGGGGTCAAGGACTGGCAGGTATAGGGCTTGAGACCCCATTCGGAGGCCCTGTCCTGCATCATCTCCAGTCAGGCATGAGTTAGTTCCATGACCACTGCTGCCTTTACTTCGTTTACTATTTGGCTGATGAGCACTTGCCATGGATACTGTAGGATGGACTGCTCAGTGTCCCTAGGTTTTGTACAGAATGATCTAGTGCCCTTTCTCCAGAATGTATGAAAACAGCTAACAGATTTTTCAAGCCTTCTCAGACACCTCAAAGCTTAGAAAGCCCAGCAATTGGTAGCAGTACGTTTGCAACCAGCAGGCTGCCTTAGCTATTTATTTATTACCTGGCACTCTAGGGAAGGGGAGCTGGCAGTTCTGAGGATAGTTATCCAGGCTCTCCTTTGGCAACCATCTTCCTCCACCAGCTCCCAGTAAAGACATTTAATCCTTTTTTGACACTGTCCTCAGTTCTACATAGCCGGGCTTGCAGAGGACAGAGGCTGGAGTAGAACGTGACGCAGGTCACCTATCATTGCACACCCGCCCCAGCGCTCGCGCTACAAGGCCGGCCCAGCGTGCTGAGAGAGGAGGTAGGCGCGTCGCTGAGCAGCGCTCTCATCCCTTCCGCTCTGCGTTCCGCTCTGCGTTCCGCTCTGCGTAATGAGCAGGGCGGGAGATGGTGCGCGCCCCCGCCGGAGACCCGCTTGAGGAGCGCGCACGCCCCGCCTCTCCACGCCTCCCAGTGCGCGCCCCGCCCCTTCAAGCTGCGATACGTCGAGCGCTCAACATCCGGGGACGTCGGCCTAGAGTAACCCCGCTCGCGTGACCTTTCCCCTCCATTCCGCACCTCCCACGGCCCGCCCCGCAAGCTCGCGGAGTTTGGAAGTGAGCTCCGGTGCCTCCTTCCTACCTTCCTCCCGAGCTTCGGCTCACCCCACTGGCGTCCCCTCCGCGCAACTCCTCGTCATGGCGGCTCTCAGCAAGTCCATCCCTCATAACTGCTACGAGATCGGCCACACTTGGCACCCTTCCTGCGGGGTCTCTTTCTTGCACATCACCGGGGTCGCCCTGGAGGAGTCCCTGAAGATCTATGTTCCCCTGTACTTGGTGAGACCCGTCAGGGGCGAGTTTAGTGAGGAGAGTGGGCCGGGGGTACAGTCTTGCTCCCGAGAGGCCTGGGGACTCGCTCTGTGTCTGTTTCTCATTTGGAGGGGTCAGGGTGTTTTTTTTTGGAGGGGGCGAGGGGAGTGGAGGACGAGAGTAGGTGAGATGGGGAGGTTGCAAGGGGCGGATATCCCAAATCCTACACGGGACTGGAGAAGGGGGAGGGGAATTAGAGGTTGAGCTGTCATCTAAACGCCTGTTGTTGGGAAGAGGATTGACTCCTTAACTCTGGGATTAAGTTCAGGACACTTAAAATTGTAACTACAGGGACCAGCGTTATTTTGCCTTTCTCTTGCCTTGAGATGAAGAGGTTAGAGAGGCGATAAGAAATGGCCTTTTCTCATATAAATCCTTCTGTCCCCCCAACCCCCCCCCCTTTTTTTTAAACGGCATATTTGATAGCATGCCACAGATTTTATCTCAGTTTGGAATGACAGGATTGTGGCTTAGGGTTTTGGGGGTGTTTCGAAAGTTCGCAAAGTAAACACCTTGTTGAGATTTTGCGTGGTGATTTAAAGGGTGGTTCCAGTCAGAGTCAGCGAAAGTGATTAGGAAATCTGACTTCATGTCACACAGATTTACATGTAGGGCAATCTTAGTTTGGAGTTTTTAATAGAGAATATTTGGAAATATGTGTTTTTATCACTGAGAACTGTTAAGGAAGTTTGTTCTTAAATACTGTCATCAGCATCTTTTTTTCCCCATATCTTTGTCCTTGGTGTGAAAGATTTATTACTTTGGTTATTGAAGTTCAGTCTCTCATTTTCTTGCCTAATAGAATTTATGTCTTGAGAAGGCAGAGATCATGTTTTTTGCATGTTTCTTGAAAGTTTCACTCAGTATTCAGTAGATGGTCAAGTCTTCTCACTGAGTAATACTTTGGGTTATGTGTACCCTATTATGCCTGGAAGCGTGTCATAGCCATATCTGTAGTATTTCTCGAAAAGTTTATTTGTTACAGAGATAACAAAGGAGAAAATGGTAACTTTCTTTGAGCTTGCAGAAGCCCGTTTTATTTTTATTATATAGACTGATGTTTTTCAAACTTAAATGTATGTTAGGAATCCCCTTAGGGCAGTGGTCCCCAATTCATTAGGTCTGGGTGGGGCCTGAGGTTCTGCATTTCTCACAAACTCCCATGGAATATTGATGCAGCTGAACTAAGAGCCACATTTCGAATAGTAAGGATTAAGAATGAAGGTTGATAATAAACTTACTATTGGAGCTAAAAAATTTTCCCTTGATTTTCTTTGCCAAAGATCCATGTTTATCTGCTTTTCCACACGAATTGTGGCCAGTTTGTAGCTCAGTTTTTTTTTTAATAGAACATCTACAAACATTATTGAACTCTTGATATATTCAACAATACAAAATGATTGTTCCTGCCCTTATAGGATTATGACATGAGTGGGGAGAGAGTGTATGTAATTTCTCCTTTGAAAATCCATAGCACTTTTATGGTGTCTCATTCATTTAACAGCCGTTTGTTGAGTGCCTGATGGTTGTCATCTCTACAACCTAGACAGTTTATTGGTATGTTTCATGATTGGCAAGTTCAGGAGAGCAACAGGTACATTAGTTTTTCTATTCCAGCAGTTGAGAAGGGGGCAGGGTGTCAAAGGTTTGTGTTTTACTGTTATGTCTCCAATAGATTAAATACTTTTTGAGGATAAATTCTCCATCTTATTTGGCCTGTATCCCTTAGGACTGTGTATTTCAAACTTTGGATTGGTACTTATAAGTAGTTGTGAAATAAAATTAGTGGGAACTGAGCAGTATTTTATTTTAACTGACATAGAAGAGAATAGAAAAAATTAGAGACCATTGCAGATACCAAGGATATGCATTATTTCATGACAGTTTTGTTTCAATTATATTTGTGTGTGTGGCTGGGGCTACTTAGAGCTTATAGCGACACTTCGCTCTTTGTCAGTGTTGGCAATTATTGTTTAAATGTGTAACCCCAGGTGCCAAGATACAAGGTAGTATGGGAAGAGGTGGGCTTTTAAAAGGGGTTAGGGACATGTGAATTTAAATCTTGGCTCTATTGGTTAATAGGTGTTTTACTTTTTGCATGTTACTTTGTCTTTCTCTGTGAGAATTGAGTGAAATAATTAATTGGAGACGTATCACATATCTTCTAGTTCATAACACATCTTGAATAATTAGGCATTTTTTTTCCATCTTTTAGGGCTGTTGTAAGGACTTAAATGGGATAATAGTAGGTAGGAATAGCAGCTATCACATAGTAGGGACCTAATAAAATGTTGCAATTATTAAAATTGTACTTCATTATAATTGATGTTTCTATCTTCTGTTAGAATGGTGGTTTATATTCAGCACTAGCACAAAACTTCGGTAAGTGCTTAATAAGTCTGAATGAGTGCAAGTATCAATGAATGAACTCATTAATAGTTCAGGAATAAGAAGATTTTGGCAGGTCTAAGGTAGTGCCAGAAAGAATGAAAGGGCAGTTGTAGAGGCATTTGACAAGAGGCATTTCACAGAAAGAATAAATAAGACTTAGAGACGGACAGAATTGGGGGCAGTGTGAGTGAGGACTTGTTTACGCTTCTAGGATTTCAAGCCATATGGATGCTGTTGCCACCATTGATAGAAAAGGAGAAGTTTTGAAGGGAAGCTGATTTGGGGGAAAATTTTAATCGAATGTTTTCGGGAGCCTATTAAATGAGTCTTTTTATTTGAAGTATTACCATGTGTTTTGTACTAAACTGATTGCTTTTGTCCCTTTCATGTTTCCTCTCTTGTTCACTACATCTGCTCTCATGCTTCCTTTTCATTTTGGTGTCTACAACTGTTCTTGGTCAGTATTCATCTTATAATACTTAAACCCCGTTGAAATGTAGATGGGCTAATCCTTTTAATAGTGAATCTTTGTGTTTTCACAATTTGTAAAAAACATCAATTCTCATCAATTCACTTCCTGTAGTTTTTTGAAGAATCCTACATATGTTGTAATATATGCTAACAATTTATGCATGTACCAAAAATGTATTTCAGGAACTTATATTTTGTTTCTTGAATGTTAGTTATTACCACACATTCGTAATAAGTGGTACCTCTCACCACACGCATACACATGAAATAGTTGTTAAACTGTTTAAACCTTCGACTACCATTAAAAGTAATGAAAGTATGGTGCCCTCAATAATTTCTGGCAAATTTAGGATACACAGTACCTCACTTAGGGAGATGGATTTCATTCTGTTCGTGTTTACCTCTCACAAGTGGTTCTAAGATCTAGGTGATGTTCTTCAGGACCTCCAGATTAGGTATGGTGGCATTTACCCTTAGCTGACTCCAAAGTAGAACCTTTCTCACTTTTGGGAAGGAATTATTTAAAAACTTTTGTTTTCATTGACCTTTAGATGTTTGCATCCTTCTTCAGAGTATGAACATGTTTACTTAATATATACTCCCTTTGAACCATTTAATCTAACGAATTTGTTAGATTATAAAGGGTCAATTAATCACCTTTAAACTCTAAATAAATACTTAAGCAAGAGTTAGAATTCTTAGGAATAAAAAAAAGCTTGCGGACAGTCTTTAGTTACTAAAGGCTTGAAAACCATTGACTGTGAAGAAATTAGTTCAGTAATATGAACTGAGTTGTTTTTTTTAAATGTTCTTACATAGTTTTATTTTATGGAAATAATGGTAATTCCACAAAACTCCCAAAGCTTAATTATACTTACAAGAGGCTGTTCAGATTTGTGTATTACAGCACGGCTTAGGTGGCAGGATCTTGGATTCTGGGATCAAATTGCCTATGTTAGAATTCTAGCTTACTACTTAATACTAGCAGGGTGACCACAGACAAATTTCCTAACCACTCTAAGCCTCAAGTTCCATGTCTGTAGTATTGGAGAAATGGTAAATTTTCACTTCATAGGCACTTGTGAGGATTCAGTGAGGCATAGTATATCAAGTACTTCTGGCACATACTGTGGACTGTATTTTTAAAGGCAGTGGTTAGCAGACTTTCTAGAGTACATGAGACCACCAATGAGACTTTTCTAAGTTTCTGATAATAGGCCATTTGTTTTTGCTTTTTACCGAGAGAGAGAGAGAATTTTTTTTTTTTAATGAGCAATTAAACAATGAATTTTCCTATTCCTTAATATGACACTTGAGTTAGTTGAACTTATTTTTATATGTGACTTCTTGTTGTTCTTTGCCTGATCTCTGCCGAGTACAAATTACAGTTCCAGCACATCACTCATAGTTGAAAGTTGAAGACTTACTATTGCACTAAATACTCTCTCAACTCACTCTTTTCTGTAGCAACTGTCCCTGAATATAGCTGGCCAAATCTGGTTTACTTTTATTTGGCCCTTTAGTTATAGATCATAGAAAAAAGATAATAAATATTGGAATATGGGATTTAAATAATTATGATCCATTACCGTTCATGTTTCTGAGTCAGTAGATTCTTATTAAAACAGATATTTGGTTGATAAAAAAAAAATTTAAAAAGCCTTCAAATCCTTGATAGGTAATTTTTCAGTGCCAGCATTTTTACCTCTTGCCTGGTCACTAGAAAATTCTCTTCAAATCAAAATGAATTGAAAAATCTCTTCCATCTGGGAAAGTTTATCTTCTTCAATAAAACAATACATTTTGGTACAGAGAAAAACCCACCTGGAGGAGTGAGGGAGTCAAATCCACACCAGTACTCCCTGTCGTAACAGACTTTCCATCAAATTATCTTTGTACCCAACTCTCTAGTTGATTCCTTGTGATACAGATTATTTTGGGTAACCAGATCTCTTATTTGCTATTTAGAAAAATATTTTGTCATGAATTTTTGACTCTTTAAAACATATTTTTGATTATTTGCTGATAAATATTGGTGCAAAAATATACAATAATGGAGGGGGACTGAGATTTGATGATTAGGTTTAGTAATATCTGAAGCAATA